AGTGGTGGCGACCCATGAGTTTGTTTTTACATGGCACTCAGTCTTCCTCGTCTGATACATTTCGTTTTATTGTCACCCTTTTGCGAAATCAGCAACAAAATAAAAATTACAAACAAAATACAAACCACCACCACCAACACCAACAAAAACAAGAATGCGGCTACTTTCGATTGGGACCTCTGATAGGAATAATTTGTTTTCTTCATCTTGATCAGTCCTGCCTAAGACGGCCACCTGTCTTATTCGGCCACTTTTCTCTTTGACAATGGGTGGCCGTCTTACACAGGTTTGACTGTATTTGAATTCTAGTGACAGTCACCCTGTATATCTATTTTTCTCACTAAAAAACAGGCAAATTTGTAATTGTCAGTAGTTTCAAGTGTTTAGCGCCCTAATTACATAATTTTAGTCATTTAAGAAGCCAGCTGTTTTAATCCTGCCTGTCATAGCTAAACCAGGCTGAGTGGGTCCATGAGGAGCAATACTGAAAAACAGATATTATGTTTTCCAACAAGCAAATGGGCTTCCATACTCAAACCCTCTATACTATTTAATATAGTTTTTCGTGCTGGTTGGCAGCTACGCATGAGACGTTAAGATGATTGTTACTTACATAGAGTGGGACTTCCCGTAAAGCCAGTCAGATACAGATCAAATACTTTTCAAGATCAAGAACTGGCATTGCAAGAATTATTCCAGAAGTATCAAATACTTAAACTTTCGATTTGCCTTTCCAATACTTCTTTTAAACTTTGAAATAAATTCTCTATCCTGATCTTTGATACTTGTAAGACATTCTACCTAAGAAGCTGAACCTTTACAATTTCTATCTCCGAGCCTGGAATGGTTCTAATCTTTTCGATTTTTTTCTCAGCCTGTCATGCTCAAAAAAAAAGTCTGAAACGTTCCATATTTCCATGACTTAACTCTTAAACCCAGAGTTTTTTCCACAGTCTCCCGGAGTTTCATCTACAGTCACCTAAACCTAGTGCACTATATCTCATTATAACCCCAAAAGCTTGCCTCCAACTTCGAAAATGCGGTAACAAAGGCTTAGTAATTACTACAAAACTGAAATCGGGAAAAGTTTCGAAAAACAAGCAAAAATTAACACTAAAGGAAACAAAACAGCTGTCAGTAGTATCGGACGCTATCAACGTCGATGGGAAACATGTCTATTACCACCAGACGTTCCAAGCGTCCCAAGGGGTTTAACTCTTTAAACCCTGAGTTTTTTTCCACTGTTTCCCGGAGTTTTTTCTACAATCTTCTAAACCTGGTGCACTGTAACTCATTATAACCCTAAAAGCTTGCCTCCAACTTCTGAATGGTGAAAACAAAGGCTTAGTCATTACTAAAAAATTTAGCGTCTGATGGGGTTAAAAGAGTTAAGAGTTGAGAAAAAAAAAACACCTCTAAATTACACCAAAATGAACCAAACCACTAAAGACATAAAGCCTGTCTTGAGCTATCCAAACATACAACAGAGCTAGACAACAAACAAGAAGAATAGTTGCCAAAGCGAGTGGAAAAGTGAATGCTTCCATTGATCCATGTTGTAAAATCAGCTCTGGTGGCCTAGCTCACTCCCTTCTTTTAGAATAAAATGGAAACTGAAGTACAAAATGTTTAGAAAGTATGAAACCAATTATCTCTTTTTCTGTTAAGGGTGTCATTATACATACCATCAGCCCTTAGCAGGACGTCAGCACTAAACTTTTTGTGCTTCTATATTGAAGGAAAAGTAAACAATCAACAAAACTATGGTCATAGCAGTTATGACAAAAGGAAATGAAAGACGAGGATAAAAAGTAGTAGCATAAAGAAAAGAAATGTAAAAAATGTTTACAAGTTCAATGACAAATAGGAAGCACATCAACATCTAAGTAAAAACCAACTGACGAGCGAATGTCCCTTGCTGCAATCATTGACCTTCTGCAATTACTAACCTGAGTGGAAGACGGTCCGACATTGCGCCGCGGCACTTTAATTTTGAACCCATCGCTGGGATCCTTTTTTCCACTGAGAGCAGGATCATCTTGCGGTTCCGTGCCACGCATCCAGTCCACACAGGTGCTACGCACAGACATGATGATGCTGCAGAGAACCACGAAAAACCAGACACATAGCATATGAATATGCAGACCTGCCACTCTATGAAATCTCAAAATCAGGATCTCAGGGAGAAAAAATCGGGATTTGGTGAAAAAAATCAGGATCAACAGCAAATCATGTATGTGTATATAGTATAGGGTTTTACGGCGCTCGCAACTGCTAAGGTCATATGAGCGCGCGAAACACAAGTTGTTTACTTTCGCAAAAGTTCACTCCACGACTGGTCAACTAATTGACTTTAAAATTCTAAAATGTTAAAATATAAAAATTTAGTGTAAATATATTTGTGATTTAAAACAACTCTTATAAGTAACAATAAAAATTTTAAATAGTACGTTTTCATTTTTCATTTTACAACTTGCCATAAAGGCCAATGGCCTTTATAAAATTCAAAATTCTGCTGGGAACAACGACGGAAAAAATATCCTGCAATTTCTTGCATTTATAATATTTCCTTCGGATCTCTCCAAAGTCTAGACATTCTGTTAAAATGTGTCTAATGGTAAAATCTGTGTCGCATCCGACACAGAACGGCTTCTCTTCTCCCTGTAGGAGGTATTGTGGGTCAGGGCCGTGTGTCCGATGCGCAATCGAGTAAAAATGACTTCGTCTCTTCTGGAGAGGTCCGAAGGATTTCGCTGTTCTAGTTTGGGTTTTATTTCATATAGTTTATTATTTTTCTGGCTCTCCCACAGACTGGAGGTGTACTTTTTGACTTTATTTCTAAAGTCAGTCTGTGGGAGAGTGTTTGTCGTTGATCCCAGCAGAAGGGATGAAGCTTTCTTCGCCAGTTCGTCTACCTGCTCGTTTCCTCGGATGCCCACATGGCTGGGTATCCATGCGAACATGATGTTTTTTCCTGTTTCGGATAGTGTATGAATTTTCTGTTGTAGCCTAACTATTTTTGGGTGTAAGAGTGTGTAGTTTGTGAGTGAGGTGATGCAAGACAGAGAGTCAGAAAGGATAAGGAAAGATTTGTTAGGAGAATTTTCTACAGAGTCCAGTGCCATGTCAATGGCAGTGGCCTCCGCAGTGAAAATGGAGGCTTCAGGATGGAGTCTCCTCTGGTGTGTATTGTTGGGAGATAGGGCTGCGGCGCCCACTTCATTGTCTTTTTTGGAGCCGTCCGTGAAGATGAGCTCCGCACCGGGGTATTTATCTATTAGTTTTTTGTATTCTGCTTTAAAAGTTTTGGTGTTTGTGCTTTCTTTGTTGTGTGTGGTCAGCTGTAAGTCTACTTTTGCCTTGGTGAGGTGCCACGGAGGGAGGTCGGGGAAAAGAATTTGTTGGATGTCTTGTTTGGAAAAGTGTAAGTTCTTGAGGTCCTCAAGGATTCTGAGGCCGAAGGGTTTGATGAGTTTTTCGTTGTTTTGGAATTTGTTTATGGTTTCTGGGTTTGTTTTAAAAATGCTGTTGTGCGCTGGATTTTCCGGTGTTGAGCTCTGTTTAACTGCGTATTGTAGTGAGAGTTGTGTGCGTCTGAGTGAGAGTGGTGGTATGTTGGCCTCGGCCTGGAGGCTCTCCACCGGAGAAGTGCGGAAAGCCCCCAGAGCGAGGCGGAGTCCTTGGTTCTGTATTGGATCTAGTATTTTTAAGACGTGTGGTTTTGCCGATCCGTAGACTTGACAGCCGTAGTCAAGCCTGGACCGGACAAGGGAGATGTACAAGTGGAGAAGGTGTTTTGAGTCCCCGCCCCACTCCGGATTCGATAGAATTTTCAAAGCGTTTAACGCTTTCTGGCACCTCACACGAAGGTCTTTGATGTGTGGTATGAATGTGAGTTTTTTGTCGAAAATGACGCCGAGGAAACGAGCTTGGTCCTGGACGGGAATCCTTTCCCCGTATAGTGTCAAATCCGGCTGCAGCACACGTCTGCCTGTTCGGCAGAAGTGTACTGCAACCGTCTTTGACGGGGAGAACTTGAAACCGTTATTGTTTGCCCACGTTTCGAGTTTGTGCAGCTGCGTTTGCAGCTGCCTTTCCATAGATCTCAAATGAGGATTTTTCGAACGGCAGCATATCAAAAAGTCGTCAACGTATAACGAGCTGTCTATGCTGTTTTGGAGGGTTTTCACTATGGAATTTATTTTAATTTCGAATAGGAGAGGAGAAAGGATGCTCCCCTGGGGGACTCCTTCCTCCTGTTGGTGGGGGTCTGAAAGGGAGGATCCGACACGAACCTGGAAGGAACGGTTCTTCAGGAAGTTGCCAATGAAGGCAGGGAGGTGACCGCGTATGCCAAGTGCGCGCAGGTCTCGAAGAATGCCGTACTTCCAGGTTGTGTCGAAGGCTTTTTCTAGGTAAAAAAAGATGGCGATTGTGTGGCCTCTTTCAGCGAACGTCTCGCGTATAAAGGTCTCCAGGCGGACCAGGTGATCCAGAGTGGATCGAGTTTTCCTGAATCCGCACTGGAGACCGCTCAGCGAGCCCGTCCTTTCCAGAAACCACATGAGTCGCCTGTGAATCATTTTTTCAATTAGTTTCAAGAGTTAGTGCTATTGGTCTGTAATTGGATGCGTGTGTGTGGTCCTTGTTTGGTTTGGGTATTGGAATGACAGTGGCGAGACGCCAAGACTCCGGAAAGGAGTGCGACCGCCACATGTCGTTGTATATGTATAGTAGGAGTGTGAGTGTTTCTGGGGGTAAGTGTCTAATGATTTGGTTGTGGATGTCATCCGGTCCTGGGGCTGTATCGCCCAGGTCCGAGATGCACGATGTTAGTTCGTCTATTGTGAAGTCTGCGTTGTAGGTTTCAGTGTTGTTTGAGTGGAAGTTTAAGTGTTGTTTTTCTCTGTTAGTTTTGATGTTTTGAAAAGTGGTGTTGTAGTTTGCTTGGGATAAGTTTTTGGCGAGAGATGTAGCAATTGTGTTTGCGATGTCTCCTTGTGTTTCAGCTGTTGTTCCATCCGGCATCTGGACGTGCCGAATGGTGTCTGTGCGTCTACCTAAGAATTTTTTAGCAATTTTGAAAACTTGGTTGAGTGGTGTCTGGCTGTTGATTTTGGAGATGTATTTTTGGAATGATTGTCTTTTGCTCTCCCTGAGGCATCTACGTGCCACAGCTCGAGCCTTTAAATAATTGATCTTGTTTTCTATGGTGGTGTTGTTGACGGTCTTTCGATACGCTGCCTTCTTTTTCTTTACTGCATCCTCACATTCCAAAGAGAACCAGATCTTGTTCCTCCGGGGTTTTGTTTTTGTTTTTGCTATGTGTTTGTGGCATATTTCTAAAAGCTTTTCGTGGAATTTATTGTAGTTGTGGTCGAAATTGGGATTAAGAATCAGGGAACATTGATTGGCAAACCCGTCCCAGTCTGCTTTTTTGAAGTTGAAGCGTTCTGGGATCAGGTCGTTTGGAGGCTATTGTTTTTTAGAAGAATTGGGAAATGGTCCGTACGGTCATCCAGCACAGACCACTCAAGATCTGGGACTAGGTCAGGGGTACAAAAAGTGAGGTCAAGGGATGAAGTGCCATAAGTGGCTCTGTTTCTGTAAGTTGGGGATTTATCATTTAAGAGACAGATGTTATTTTGAAATAAAAAGTTTTCTATTATTTTACCTTTCTGGTCTATAGGTTTGTCTCCCCAAAGGGGGCTGTGGGCATTGAAATCACCTAGTAAAATAAAGGGTTTTGGGAGCTGAGACTTTAAGTCATTTAGTTGGGTTATTTTGAGGGGGTAATTTGGTGGGATGTAAACTGAGCAGATCGTGATTGGTCTGTGCAGGGTGACCCGTACGGCAATAGCCTGGAGGGTCGCTTTAAGATGTACTTGTCTGTGGAGTGTGTGGTTGTCGGTGTAGATGGTGGTACCACCGGAAGCAATCTGGTTCTCCGTGTGAATGTGATGGTACGCAGTAAATCCTCTTAAGTCTATGGTTGAAGCCGGGGCGAATTTTGTTTCTTGAATACAGGCCACCCGTAGGCACAGTGTGGCCTGTAAATGTTGCAATTCTGCAATGGAAGGTCGGATTCCGCCGGCATTCCATTGCAGGACCGCCATTATGAATAGCAAAAGCCAGCACAACCCTCAGTAGACTGAAAGACAAAGTCTTTGAACTAATCTGCTTACAGCGTTGAAACTTGGCACCTTACCATAACTTTTTATGCTGAACAGTCATGACCACGAATTTTATAGGCATCATAAGTCATCTCATTAGCATATATTAGCATACTTTACGCAACATCACAGCAAAAAATATTTTGAAAATTTGTGTAACATACAATATTTTCCTATCCTACAATTGCACAAACAATACATTGTCCTGTAAATTATACTAGCTGAGCCCCCTTTCGATGAAAGGAATGATCGGTGCATTGACGTCAGCCGAAAGTCATTGGCTTATGTCTATGATATTTACATTCTACTGGAATGGAGCAACAAATCTTGAGAGATAGAGATGCACAAATTAGAAGGTTAAGATCAGTGGTTTTCAAAGTGGGCGCTACTGCCCCCAGGGGGGCGGTTGCGAGAGTTTGGGGGGCACTGTGGCGAAACTAGGCGATTGGGGGGCGCTGATGGGCGCTAAGGGGGCGGTGGGAAATTTTCATGACACGCAACATAAAAAATGATGAGGGGAAAAAAGCCACATAAAAGAACAAAAACAAAAACAAAAATTGATAGCTTAGGCATAGTTTACACTAATAACTAAGAACTTTCTTTCCCAGCCCGCAAATCCCATATAAAGAAGATTCATCACGACAAATCTGACAAAGATGTGGCATACTTCAAAACTCTAAAGATCAATTTTCAGAAATGAAAATCAGTGAAACCGATGTTTGCAGCCAACGTCGATCAAGCTGATGAAGGCTTACGAGCAACATATAATATATCTCGGCTAATTACAAAGGCAGGGAAACACCATGCTATCGGTGAGGACCTCATATTGCCTGCGATAAGAGAGGTGGTCAGCTTGTCCTGCAACGCACCCCGGAGTCTGTGTTGAAAGTTTTCCCACTAAGTGCAAATACCATTCAAAAACGTTTAGATGAGATGTCAGCTAATGTTGAGGAATCACTGTGTAAAATGCTGAAAGGACGTGAGCTCAGCCTTTAACTGGATATCAGTTCATAGAAGGTGAGGAAATAATGCAAGAATTGTTATTTGCGAAAATGTCGGAAACAGATACCAAAGGCGAGTCCATTTTCAAAGTGGTCCAAGAATTTTTCGAGGAGAAACAGATCCCTCTGACCAATACAGTTGCCTGTGCAACAGATGGGGCACCGTCGACGGCTGGTCGGAAACGTGGATTTATTAACTTCTTGAAGAAATTAGTCCATGGAGTATTTACTATTTACTGTGTCATTCACAGACAGAATTTGGTTGTAAAAAACCTGAATGATAGTCTGCATGACACACTGGCCATTGGCATCAAGTGTGTGAACAATATCAAAGTCCACACTTTGAACTCGAGATTGAAAATGACGTGTACTTTCAATGCTTACTTTTGCACATTGAATTCTGGTGGCTCTCGAAAGGAAACTGTTGAACACAATTATTGTTCTGCCTGTTTGACTCTGTGCTGGAGGTTGGTTTTTTTTTCAAGAAACAGACATTGATCTCTGCAATAAACTGAAAGAACACAAGAACAACATTGCGCTCCTCACAGATCTTTTCACAAATTTCAACCAGTTCAACTTTCAGCTGCAGGGGGATGACACCAATCTGATCAAGGCTTTCGTCATTCTTGTCGAAATTGGAAATGATCCCCCAAAACATTGGCAGAAGAAAATTTCTCAGTTTCCTAGCTTGACGAAGACACTGAAAGAAGGGCGCATTTCTGACGAGGAACTACAAATATATATAGCAACCACCTCGGAGATTTGCACGCTGATATGAAGACAAGGTTTAGCCTCCTGATATTTTTTAACTGGAAATTCCATACTGGATACTGGACCCATTGAACACTGAAACAGAAGATAACTTGCAAGTAGCAATTGAAGAAGAGCTTCTGACGATGAAATGTGACTTTGAAATCTAACCATTGTTCAAAAAGCCGTACCAGTCATTCTGGTTGAAAACTGTTGTGCAAGACAAATATCCCTCCCTGTGGGAAAAGATCAAGTTGTTGTTCATCTCTTTTCCCGCCTCCTATCTAGTAGAAAGGGGATTCAGTGCAGTGACAAGGTTGCTGACGAAGCGTAGCGATTTGCGTCTGCTACTGACCAATCCGAAACCTGATGTTGATAAGTTGGTTCCGTCTTAGCAGGTCCATCCTTCCCATTAGGGTAGTGTCAATAACTTATTTGCGCATGCTTACTCCGTAGTTTACCCTTACTTGATATCTCAATGTGTCTTTTCTTTTTTTCTTGTCTTTTTTCTTCCTTTTTTTTTAAAAAGCAAAACATTCACTTGTTTAACATAGTTTTTTATGTGCATGTGCTACCACTGTTGATGAAACTGATGATGAAGATGATGATGATGATGATGATGATGATGATGATGATGATGATGATGATGATGATGGTGATAATTACAGACTAAGATCCATGCATACTTTTTCTTTCGTGTGGTTTCTCACATTTGAACAACTTAACAATATTTTTATTTTCTACAATGGAGATATTTGATTCAAATTCCAGGCAACTTTATTGCAGCATGTTGATGGGAGAAAACGTTTCATAAAGATATTGTCAATCTGTTTTCAAACCAATGATTACGGGCGTTTTTATTTCTTTCTTTCTTTCTTGGTGTTTTGCTTCTGTAAATGTGATAATACATGTTTTATTTTTATTGATGTTAATAACACTGGTCGTTTAGTACCGATGACAACTATATGCATAAAATGACAGTATTTTGCTCTCAATGCCCTTGCATAAGATTGGAGAAAAATGTGTTTTATTATCTCTCATACACGCTTATTTTAAAACTCTGTAATGATGGTGATTTGTGACTCAACTAATATTCAAAACTAAATCATTAGAATTTAGGCACGTTACTTTCTACCCTGCTGTTTGAGCTCTCTCTTTATTTGTGATTGTTATTATATTATGCATGTCGTTATGTCAGATTGGTGGTTGGGGCGGAGTAGGGGGCGCTGGGACTCGGCTGGGTGAAAAAGGGGGCGGTGGGAGAAAAAAGTTTGAAAACCACTGGTTTAGATCTATACTCTCAAAACAGTGCGCATGGTTAGTGAACCGAAACCTCCTTTTCTAAAATTACAGAGACAGAAGCGTCGGCCTACAAAAGCGATCAGCGAAATAAAGAAATTTAGCTTTTCCCTGCGAAACTGTCTCAAAACTGAAAAAACGAAGGGCGTCATGATCTGGAGAATATTTTAAAGAATCTTTTGGCAAAAACCCCATGTCGATCGATGCAGCCATTAAAAAGCCTTTTGAATAGCAAAATTCGGCCACCACAAATAGATAATAGATTGTAGATGTTTATGCCCCCATCTATACGATTTAGATCATCTAGGAAGCAGGCTGCTTTAACTTTGACCCTGCCTGTCAGGGCCAACCTGAGCTGAAAGGGATACAATGTCCCAGCAGAAAGACAGAGGTACTTTGTAAACAATCATCGTCGTGGGGAAATTGAACATGTTTTCAAGTCTTCTACAATAGAGGGTGAAGCACTAAACCACTCAGCCTACACTGCAATCTTGGCTGTTGCTGTCCTTGCCCTGACATCAGCTTCTGTACCTTACAGTCAAGCAAATGATTCCCACTTCTCTAATGTCTCACTTAAAATGATTGAATCTCTGGTGGTAAGATTCAGAACTTGCTATCTGGGCTATGCAGATCAATGCTTTACAATCACCTTGGCCATAACAATGATCAGTTCTGCAGAAATATATTCCTGGTGTCTTATGGACTCTGTCGTCATGGTGTGGGGAGCAGCATTATTTATCCCCTTAGTAGTGACTGTAAAATTTGCTCTTTCCTTGGAACTGTAAACATCTAGTTTTTAAGAATTTATCTTTCCTATTCTCAACAAATTTCCCATTCGTCTATACTGTACGATAGATCAGTCTAAAGCTAGTAATAATATCAAGATTCTAATAAATTTATGTAAACAGCATAAATCTACAGGTCTCTCATTTTTCATTGGAATTCAGTCATCCGCAAATGTTGCCGGGGAGGGGAGGGTGTCAATTAATGACTCTGGAGTGTAAATGTTGAAAAAAGCTTACTTTTATTTCATCTTTAATCAAATCATCTGACAACCCTGCCTCCACACCTCGACTTTCAATGTTTAACTAGGCCTACAATTTTTTCTAAGTATAAGGGAGTACAAATGCTATCACAACATGAAAGGGGCTTTCTCGGTCCCCGCCAGCTTCTCTTATATTCATATCCAACAAGAAATAGCAGTCTAGTCATATGACACGGCATCGATTGATAACCAGAGGTTCCCGCCCGCGGCTGACGAAGAGAGCCGTGCAGAAGGCCCTTATTTTGAAATGATGCTAACTTTGAATCAGATTGGAACGCCTTTCCAACGAACATGTAAATATGGGCTACACAAGAAAATAAAGGTATGCTTATGTTTACACCTTGTGTGGATTCAAAGTCTCCTCATTCGTTTCAGAGAGTTAAAAAACCTTCTCCACTTTTAAGAAGTGGCGAACAGCAAGTTTTATGATGACTTTAACCGAACAGAATAAGATCTTTAGTTTGACCTCTTCCCTGATTGTTTGCCAAGTATGAAGACTCTACAAAGTCATTTTCATACCTACATTGAAGCTAAAAGAGGGTACCCCCCTTGTAAATCAGTTCATAGCCTCCACGCGCGATGGCACTACGTGCAGGGATTGACTTTGCTACATAACTTATGCATTAATAAAAGATTTGAACACCGTTTTTTTTTTTCTTCGTGAAAGGTTTTGGATTCTTCACATTTTGAATGTAACATTGTGGTTGTCACCCGACTTTAAAAAAAAGGTTCAACTTGTGGATTTTCAGTTGTCCAATTCTTAGCTTAAAAAAATAATCTTTCTTTCACACAGCTCAAACTTTTTTAAAAGCTATACAAATTCCGCAAAAGCCACACGAACACATTTATTCCTTTTATACAAATATATTCTTTATGAAGATTAACCCTAGGCTAACACTTCCAGTTCGTAAACTCTCCCTAGAGATTTTTACCACTTTTTGAAAAATTGAAAAAAAAAAAAACTAAATTTTAACACATCCTAGCCAAATTTGGTTTACATTTTATTAAAACCTTTATTTGTGAGTATTGAAAATTTGAAGGCAAAATATGTCATACTTTTTATACAATACTCCGAGGAAAAAGGTCTGTATGCAGAGTTAAAAAGTAAATAAAAAGCGAAGAAAGGAAGTGTGTTCAAATTTCGCACCCTCTCACATGGTTCACAAATGTAGCTTTCTTTGTTCTAAGTTAGGACTTGCACTTCTGGTCAGTCTGTTTAAAACGCAAAATGGTCACTCTTTCAATTATGTTATAGTCTGCTTCACACGTCGTGTTTTCCGTCACGAGAGCGAAATTTTCCATACTGATACTGTCGGCGATAGGGTTGGAGTGTTGTGCGCGTATACCGATATTATCGGCGTTGAGGCTGGGCGAGTTAATTCCTCAAATAACAGAACTTCAAGCTGGTTGGTCTGTTTGCTGTAAAAGAGTGTCTGCTGGGGTAATAATGATGGAGAAGTGCATAGAGCATGCTGTAGCGGGCGTAAGTCAACAATGGCTTAAATTTCTTCGTAGCGGGCGTAAGTCAACAATGGCTTAGATTTCTTTAAAGAGCCTTTCAGATGGATTTCTAAGCATGAAGCCTACCCACATACATATTCATCAGCAACTCACACTCGAATGATTTCCGTCTTCTTCTTGCTTGCCTTGCGCAAAGGCTCTCTCAGCGTGTGCTGCACAAACTCCTGCAACTCTGTATAGATATGCCGTCGAATGGCATCCATGAAGACAGTCTCCATACGAGCCATCAAGAGCTGCAGACCTTTGATCATTGCGATGACTTCAATGAGGGCAAACTTCTCATCACGGCTGTAGTTGTACCGTGTGGCCTACACAGTGAGCACACAAAATATAGTTTATAGTAGACACAAAGAAAGGCAGTATCAAAGTGCTCACAGTTCAAGAAAAAGCAATACATCATATACTCAGTTTCAAAATAATTCAACCCTATTTTTGGATAGATGCTAATTAACAAAACTGTATCAATACCAGATCCGATTCATATGAACCCCATAGCTACTCACCCACCAACATATATTTTAGCAATCAATAAAGATAAAATTAGTAAACTAGCTTAAAAACTAATAATACTGCCATGTATAGTCTTCTTCCCTGAGGTGTCAAGGACACGGGTCATCTCCAAGTATAAATGTAACGTACACAAAGGCATAGAGAAGGAAAGGGGAAGGTGGGGGGAGAAGGGGGGGGTAGACACTGCTTGCAAAACAAAAGAAACCTTCGGAACTACAGAAAACACCAAAAACCTTTGATCCCGATAGTTCATTACAATACACTATGGCTAAGCGAGCTATAGCCATTCAAAAAGCAGACTGTGTCAAACACAGCCACTATGGAAATTTCCTCATCACACGCAGTGGACTTATGTTTATTATTGTGTTGTGATGTGTTTTTAGCTGCATTATAGTTGTGTTGTAGGTTTATCTTGTTTGTTCCTGAACTTTTTCACTGTCAACTTAGAGGGAATAAAAATTGTTTGGTCTCATACCTCATTTTTGTAGGGGTCCTGGCAAGTTTAGGAATATATCAAGGTAAATTGGGTTAGATCTAAGACAAAATCCAAATACTGAATGTGTAAATAGCGAAAACAGACTTTAAAAATATCAAAAGGGGAAAAAATGGCAGACTTCCAAAGTTCACCAGAAATCGTGCGTCTCTGGGTGTAAAGCTGGTTCAAAACCGGCGTCCTGAAAGTGATAATGTTAGGCTTCTATTTAATTGTTTGCTTTTTACACAAATCTAAACATAACACTTTTGCAAAGTAGCAAAGTTTCGTGTTACAACCAAGTTTTTCCTGAAATTCAAAATATTGTAAGTTTTTTAAAATTCATTGAGCTGCAATAAAAGTAAAGACATTAAAAGCGTTAAACCCTGATTTCAAGGAGGAAATAAAATTTGGTTTGGACTTTCTACTGCCACATTTTGTCACGAACCTTAGGCAAAGAATTATGGATTTTCTACCCAGAATGTCTTTCTTTTACAAGTGCCAACTGATAAACAACAAATGTTAAAAACTCACCCTCTCATACTCTTCAGCTGTCTCCGGGCAATCTTTGTTGGCATGAGGATCTGTCGGGTTCATCAATTTCCAAGAATACTGGTGATAAGATACCAAAAAAAAATAATATTAGATTTCAGGATATGGAGGACAATCCACTGTTTATCTTTATTTGAGGGGGGAAAAAAGAGAAAAATTGTCACAAGCACAAAATACAATACCATACATGTGGATTGGAACCTACGTTGCCTTATAAATATTCATAAACTAAGGCACAAGTCTGCGACGGAAATAGAACAAAATAACCGAATCCACACCATACACTAAATCTTATCATTAAAGGAAGGATATGCCTTCACAACCACTTCCCTTTCACAAAAAACTTTTAACCTGGAACTGCAGAAAAACCAGAGATCAGTCTGTGTGCTTAAGCAAGATGAGAATCTGTCGAGTTATTTCATTTTTTCCTGCCAATTCCAAACATAAGATTCTTCACAAACAAAAAACTACATACAGTGGCGTCCAAAAGAAACTTTAAAATGTAATCACTCAATCATCATGTTAAAGCCTTACATTACCCACTCATGCAGCATAACAATTTAAAGCTAAATAAATTCTGCATCATCTAACACATTAATATTTCATTTATGTTAAGAAATTGACCTTGAAAAAATCAGGCTTGGCAAAATTGGGCGAAATCAAAGAAATGTAAAAGAGTGTTTATGCCTATATTGAGGTGATTGAGTGGTGTCGGTGGCCTAGTGGTTTGGCTCTTGGACTCGCAACCGCAAAGTCGTGGGTTCGAATCCCGTCAGGGGCCTGACGTTGTGTCCTTGGGAAAGGCACATTGCACAAATTTTCCTCTCATCACCCAGGTGGAAATGGGTACCCGGTTATAGACAGTGAACGATCTTGTCAGTTTGATAGTGTTTGAGCACGTGAAATCCGCAGCTTGCACTGTATGCTTCCGCGGAAGCCGAGAAAGTTTCAGAGTGTTCTCAGAGGGTCTGTTGGGGTAATAATAGTTGTAAAGCGCATAGAGCATGCTCTTGAGCATGGATATGCCCTATATAAATGCAATTATTATTAATTATTATTATTACATTTTCAAGTTTCTTTTGGACACCACCGTATATGTCTACACTCTAGAGCATCTATCTGTGTAATGAAGAAAGGAGAGAAATTATCAATCTATGTAACGAAGCAAGTAGAAAAGTAACCAATCTGTGAAATGAAGCATGAAGAGAAATAGCCATTTTAGGTTTTGAAGCAACAAGGGATAAGGTCAATCTGTTAAATGAAGTTACATGAGAAGTAGGGTTCACACAAAAGCTTCAAAGGGTGTTTTTACCAGTTCCATCACTTGCTGAGTCCACTTGGACAACAACTGCAGGCCTCTCAAAGCCAACTCTGTTAGCTCTCTGTTCTCTTGATCTGACCGTGGCACCTCTCTCATCGTAGTGGTTACCTGAACAGTAAAGTAAAGACATGGAGAAAAGTTATCCAATTTTGTAGCTGAACAGCAGATCAGTCAGACAAGCACACCATTTATTAAGTGGAAGCCAATTATAAGCCGTACGTATGGCCTCAGACCTAAACACGGAATGCATATACATAGTGGCTTGACCACTGAAATCCTTGTTTGGATACCTTATAAAAAGTGAGGGGGTACATTATCACCAAATATCACCATGCTAATTCACACAAAACCATCTAAACTAAGCTAGTTCAAACCATTCAAAACCAAGCGAAATAAATATATGCGTACACATCAGAAACTTAAATACTTTTATATAATTTGGTATGAGTTTTACGGTGCTCGAAACAAGATAAGGTCATAAGAGCAAGCGAGAAACAAGTTGATTATTTTCACATTAGTTCACTGCATGGCTTGGTTTTATTTTATGATAAAGTTACCAATTCTATGGTAAAAAATTTTACGTGAAAACTGTCATTTACATTTTTAAAATAACAAATTTTCAGATTTCTGTAAAGACCAATGAACTTCATAAAATACAGAATCCTGTTGGGATCATTGACAGCGAACAAATTCTTTATATTTGTACTTTTAAAATATGTGTCACGACGCAGTGGAATCAGGTGCTCGTCAATTTTTGGGCATAAGAAGTTATTGGTATCATCTCAAAGGTTGTTCAATTGTCTTGCTTTCGATGGACAAAATATCCAATTATCTTGAATATAAGTCAAGATATTTGCGATTGAAGGAGGTGGGGGTCACTCGGTTTCAGAAATAAAATTAGCGAGAAAATGACCGCCAAAATTTGGTAGCTTCCATAGCTTAAGAGTCCTTGGAAACTGCAAAATTACATTGTTTGTACCTTTAACCAACGTTTGTCAATAAAATCTACACATAAAAGTGTTTTTGAATGGACATACAAGGCGTTGAGCCAAAAACCAATAATGCGGAAAAAAATTCCAAACTCCCCGTAAAATGCCAATTTCTTGGATTTCATTATTTTGACGAGCACCTGATTTCACCATGCTGCTTCATATATTTCCTTAGGTAAAATCAGCATCGCATCCGAAATTTTGTTTATTTGAGTAAAGAGAAGCACATCGACACAAAATGGCGTTGAGTTATGTGTTATTGAGAAGAGTAGTGATAGTTCTTTTCATCTGAGTTTCAGAAATGGTATGATGGCCTCGGTCCGAAGACTCCACTGGAAAAGTGAGGAAAGCCCCCAGTGTGAGGCGGAGGCCTTAGTTTTGTCCTGGATCTTGCATTTTTAAGATATAAATGTAGCAATGCCAATTGGGCTTCTACGTGCAGCAAAATTTTGGTCCCCATTTGTGGGTGTATTTTTGGATAGGATCGTAACGTATGTAACTAGCTTTCTCAAACTGGGTCTGCTCTATTTCTGGACCAATAAGAATGAAACTTGGCAACCAATCACAAAATAGGGCAAATTAATGATATGTGGATAAAACCTATATTTTTTGTGTCAGAAACACTTTCGTATCGGGTATTCCGTAAACTATAAGGAGCTCGACTTTCAACCTCAAGAAGGTAAGAGATCTATCTTTCCCCTATAGCGTCCTCAAATTTGAACGTTTTGTGTCAAGCAGTTGTTTAGAATTTATCATAAATGCACCACTACCCCTTTGTACAACGCACTTTGCACGGAGACCAGCCATTTTCCCCTCACTCCCTCAGCAAATGTATGTGACCTACAAATCCCTGCACGATTATTCCGAGCCCGTTCACTGGCCACTTCAAATAGGACAATGGCGGGCTCGCGCATCCGGTTGTTTTTCTCTCTGTTCCCCTGTAACATCACAATGGGGGTATTCCATGGTAAGCTTATCTCGCCTCGGGGTATTTGCATCTCAACGGGAACAAAAGGTTAATTTCACTGCATGCTAGATTGAATTGAGTTATATTTTATGGTCGGCAGGTTCTAAAGTCATCAAAGAAAGCTTTGCCATTACTTAGTCATGCTCCCAACATATACTTAAAGACCCCATCTTGTGATACGGCGCTATAAATAAAATGCTCTCATCCCGACACCCCCTTTTCGCAAAATTGTAATATGTAAACTAAAATTTTAATTATAACAAAATAACTACAAAATGGTTAGTTAATCTGACTGCAGAAATGATTTCCTCCACCCAAAAACACATTGAAAGCCAAGTTTCTTTCTAACACTCTAATTAATTACTGAGATATCAACCATTTTCTCACATAATTTGCAGTTACGTGGTCCACTTTTAAGGAGTATTTTCCTATAAGTGGGTCATCCATATTTTGCCGACCTTTACAACCCCACAACTTTTTTATTTATGAACCGATTCTTTAAATTTCAAATTCAAAAAGCATAATTCTTTTAATTAAAAACTTTTTCTTAGGTACCAAATAAAAAAGGGCTAAAGCGAAAAATCAATTTTTCATTGGCATTGCTAATATATGAGGTCTTGCCGTATCGGGTACTCTGTTAACTATAAGGAGCTTGACTTTCAACATCAAGAAGGTAAATACACTTGACAGCTGTAGTCCAATCTGGATCAGACAAGGGAACAGTAAAGGTGGAGGATGTGTTTGAGTCCCCATCCCACTCCAGATGATATAGAATTTGTAAATATGATTAAAGCTTTTTAATTCCTCAAATAAAGGTCTTTAATATGTTGTTGTTGTTGTTAGTGATCCAGTAGCATCTGATCGTTAACTCTTCTGCATGACGCCATTCTGTAATAGCTGCATGTCTGTTCTAATTGTTGTCTTGAGGAGTAGAGGCAGTTAGAGGAGTGGGCTAGCTTGGGAAGAAAACACCCCCTTAAATCAGTTAGTTTTCTACAGAAGAACAGATGATGTTCCACTGTCTCTGAGGGGTAGTCACATAGTGGGCAGGCAGCAGACTGCTTTACTCCAATTCGGTTGAGATGTTAATTGAGGGGTACATGTGTTCTAAGTTGGAAGGTTATGGGTTGATCTCCCCTTCTCAACTCAATGATTGGATCTTTGACCAGTGGTTTATTCATGTGGCCATACATCATCCTTCCTGTCGTTAAAGGTCTTTAATATGAGGTATGAATTTTAGTTTTCTGTCAAAGAGGTTTATTCTGAGGAAATGGAGCCTGGTCCTGGACAGGAATCCTTTTCCTGTATAACATCAAATCTGGCTGTAGTACTCGTTTGCGAGTCGGCAGAAGAGCACTGCAACCAACTTTGACCGGGAAAACTTGAAACCCTTTTTATTTGCCCAATTTTCAAGGTTTTCCCCAAATATCTTATTTGAGGATTTCTGGATCTGAAAGTCATCAATATATAACAAGCTGTATATGTTGTTCTGGAGGGCCTGAATGACGAAATTAATTTTGATTTCAAAGAGGGTCAGTAATTCATTTAACTCACTCAACCCCGTTATTGCCACAGTGGTGATCTTTTTCCATTTATGGCTCAGCCCCGAAATCATCACTGTGGTGATACTGACACAATAATTTTTTTCAAGGGAAACAATCACCACAGTGGCGATCTTGGGCTGTTGTAAAAATAGTGCAGCTAGTTCCCTTACGTTTGAAACTAACTTCGTTCTTTCTGCCAAGAATTTATTTTTTTGTAATTTTTTTTTTGCCAAACACCCCCGCACCTCTCCAGTGACCAAAATAGCATCTGACAGGCAAAAACGTCCAGCAACTCGTAGAGCTAGTATCTTTGAACTGTTTGAAGAATCAAAAGATTCCAGAGATTATGTTTACTCCGATAGTGATGCAGACCCAGAGTACAATGAGCCTGAATGTAAGAAGTCTCGCATTTCAAGCTCCAACCCGGAATTCATGTTTTAAAAAGTATTGAAAATAACAACAATCCGTTTAGATGGAAATATAATCTATTGTGTCTTCTTTTATCATTGAAAATTTCACATCCAATTCTTCAATAGTTTTTTCACAATAAATTTTTTAAAACACCCCCGAAACGGGAGTCCTCAGCGACAAGCTGCTAAAATAAACGGCGGGGCTGAGTGAGTTAATCCATAGATACAATTTGATTTAAAAATTTTGGGGGATCAAAATATAGGAAAATACCGCCAAAAAGTAAGACCATTCTCGACGTATTTTGAGGGAAAACTGTTCATACGTCAGTAATAAAAAAGAGTATAATATGAAACTTGGCATCTTTATGTAATTTTTAGTACAGAATCTAGTTTTGTTATCAATTTTTCAATATCTTTATTACTTTAGACCTTTGCGACTATCATTTGCATGAAAATTTGTTTCACGGCGTCACTTTTCGCCCGATTTTGTTACTTTTAGTTAGCATCACTCAACAGCCCGCCGGAGCTCCCCGGCTCGGGGTCACGGGGTTAATGAGCCCTGAAGCGACTTTGCCGGTGTCGGTTACTAAGTTCGCATTTTTGACTATGTTTAAAACGATATAACTTCTTCCCCATCCCACATAGCAAATCATTACGCGGATGTACTAAAAGCTCAATGTCTTGAGATTCATTCTGCATTAGAATGGTTAATTTCTGTGCTTTAGTTTTTGTTCTAGACAAGTGTTTGTAGAGTACCCAATTGTCCTATTTTAGTTACAAACTTATGAAAAAATGATTGTTAATTTTAAAAAGGCACGACAGATCTCTCCAAAATCTGTGTTTAACTGACTACGAACATCATATCTTTTACCATGAGAAATCTTAAATCTGCGCGAGTAGAAATAGTCAAATTATAAGAGAAGAAAGATGCACATCTGCATTTTTTAACTAAAGACGATGAGCGTTAGCTCTTATTTTACTATTAAACAAGAGAAAGTTACTCTGTGTTTGTTTATGAATCTAAGCGATTAAAAAAACCCACAAAACCGTGTAAATACATGGGTAGAGATAAACTTCTTGGATGGAATAAAAATAATGACAGCCAACACATTCATTCTTAGTTTTTGTGTCGGAAATATGCGCGGACACAATTATGAATATAAAGAAATCAGTCACATTGTCAGTTATTGCAAATGGTCATAGAAACGAAAAATAAAGCTGGAAAAGTCTGGTGCTGATTTAGTGTCCCTGGAAAGCTAGAAATTATTCTTATAACCCAATTACGAGAAATCATCCCTATTATTCAGTCAACTTACAAAACCTAGACTTAGCGTTTTTAGAAAAGTAAGGAATTTCTGGAGAGTAACAGATGCTGTTTGTGTATTAGATCTACATTGAAGATGTATTCTAGCACTAAAATCGATTTGTACTTTTCATAGAGAAACTTCATGGTGACTTTTATAAACTTTCGAGAAAATATGCAAATATTCACGATTATATTAGACACATAAAGTTGTATTTGGAGGAATTACTTCATAGCGAATAGTGTGCCCGATGGATAAAGTTGCAAAATTACAACTTTCTATTATATGCGCAGATACCATCTTCTTTGAGTATCTGCACCAATGCTATGTTGTTCATGTTCCAAAAGTTCGACAGATTTTGACGAGACCTTTTTTTTAATATTGATTTTTTTTTTTATTCACGCTAGTCAAAAAAAAATTACAATTTAGCATTGCCAACTCCAGCGCGTCTAACGAAATAACCAGACAAGTTACAACGTCCGTTCTTTTTTGAGTCTCAAGAGCAGAAATGCGTGCTTTGGGTGCACTAAATGAGAATTACCATAATTACAAGGAAACACCTTAAATTGTACGTTGCAAAGTACCAAAAATTAAGTCGGTCCAGACAGAGCGGCGACAGGGAGCTGACCCCCGTGACCCCGACGTGATAAGACGCCCGGCGGGGAACCCCCCGCGGCAACTAAAATTCTACTGCCGGTGCGCCGTGGTTTAATTGCGCGACATCACTTGAGCTGCTATCGAAATGGGGTACAGATTTGTGATGCGAGGCACAAGCTTGTGATGCACGGAAGAGTCAAACATTACAAAATTTTGAAAACACAGTGCAGAAATGAATTTAATTTACTCCACCTGTTACAGAAATGATATAACTTAGAGCTTAAAAGAATCAAGGTTGTTCTGCAACCACTTTCTCTTACGACCTATTTAGTTTTAGGCAGTCGACCACATGCCGCCCAGCATGACCAGTTTCTGACCCAGTTTCCGGCTCTAGTCTTTTATCGCTGGATGGGTGGTACTTTTTATTTGGTACATAAAATGTACTACAGACAGGGAGCTGAAATTTTACAGCAATGACGACGACACAGCAGCTTCTCTTTGTTTTGTTTTTAATGGGAGAAAATCACACAAAACATGGCAATTTCTGCAGTTCTAGAAATCTGTCAGCATTGTCCGATTGCATGTACTAGGTTTGGCCTTTCTTCTGATTGGTTGCAAAATTTCATTATTTTCCTCCACTGGTTTTCCAGTAACTATAAGAACAGGGCCACCTCTCATCCAGAACGGCCAAATAATTACATCTCAGCCCAATTTCCAGCCAAAAGCGCAGCAACCCACTGGCATTGCTGCAAAAAACACCCACCTATCAGGTTCCTTAGAAACAAGTCCTGTGCTCTCACCTCATTGTTGTGCCTTGCCAGTTGGCTGATGTAGTGCATGTGTCTCTCCCGGATCATCTCTAGGCTTCCCAAGAGGTTGGACTGGGGGCTTAGCTGACTGGACTCACACGCGGGCCACTTGGAGGAGTCGTAGTTTGGGCCATTCTTGATGTAATTGTACGGAGCAATCATCATGTCCCCATACAGGGGCACCATCTCTAGTTGCTGTTACAAAAGAAATTAAAAACTTTGTCACCAGAATGCATGTCCGTTTAGTGATGACATTCTTAATTAGAAATTCAAATGTCTGAAAACTAACTACAGTCGAACCTGTATGAGACGGCCACCCATTGTCAAGGAGTAAAGTGGCCGTATAAAACAGGTGGCCGTCTTAAAGAGGTGGCCGTCAGGGCAGGTTCGACTGTACAGTATTAATATAATAAAAGGTTAATTTCATAATTATCAGAAATTTAGGGGGAACCAAAGTTGAAAAATACACAAATAAATATTACAGATGTATTCTACAAATCATACTGAAAATTTCAGCGTATAATATTGTGACGGCTACTAATGGCCTCACATTATACAAAAAGATTAATACATGAAGAGAGACAACAACACGTCTGCTCTGTGTGCCTACCTGCCGGAAAACTGAACTTTATTTTTTGATCACACTGAAATCCCGTGTGCCGAATGGAAACGAGGGCAAATTTATGACGTCACAAGAAGGGGGAAACAACCGTGACAATAGAGAATCATTCTTCCAACACTAACACAGTTCATTCCCATTTTCACATCAGACAAACATTACAAATATGTTAATATTTATTTGAATTTGTGGCCCCAAAGACCATTGAACTGCGCACTAGTTATCATCTCATTTCGTCCTCCCAAAAAAAATTCGGTCACAAGCCCAAAATAGTACGTATCAAATGAGTTAATCAACATTTATCAGTGAAATTTAGATAGAAATGTGGTGTTTTTCAGACATGAAAAGTGTTCCGCCAAAATTAAATTTTTTTTACAAAATTGCCAATCTGGTGGAAAAAATGCCTGTTTCTACAATTTCATTATTTTGATGAGCGCCTGATTTCACCACGACCTGTCACATATTTCAGAACATCACAGCAAAGATATTTCAGAGAGTGATTCTACCAATGAAGGGGTTTCTTCACTTGTTGGAGCACAGTGGGTCTCTTTGTCACCCATCTGACTAATATATACAGAGGAGGGAACAACTTAAAAAGTGAAATAATGAAATGGAGAGCGAAATACATGGACAAATATTTAATGTACAGTGAGGTATAAATACCTTGAGAATTTTATCAATGCGTGCCAAGTTGATCCTCTTTTTGTCATTCATTCTGTAAATGTTTGGTCCTTTTTCCATGTCCATCAGGAACAAGCCGAAAGCCATCACCTGAACACAGAATGACAAAAATAATGGTGAGTATTGTGCATGCTATACTAAACCATAAAATAAGATTAGCCCATTAGCTTTCTACACCTTTGAAATTTTAGCATATCGTCGGCCGAGAATTCTAACCATCTAACTCCGATTTCGAAAATTTTACAGGAGAGACAAAAAACTGAATTCAATGGCACTTATGGGGATTCACTGCCATTAAAAGCGCTAGACTGAAATAAATGACTCTACTTTAAGTGTTTATATCAAAATTGACCAAATTTTACAATTTAAAGTCCTAAACCAGAGTTATACGGATACACCACTCACTTTTGGATTTCTAAGCGTCTAACTGTTGACAAACGAAATGTTTGTTTAGAATTCCCCAACCCAGCACGGCCTGCGCATGCTTCGTTTCGTCTAGCTCAGTCGTGTGACGCATTAATGTTACCAAACAACTCAAAATGACCACACCTGCAGTCAATCCAATAGGAAGCATACTATAGAAGTTCTAATTAGTACTGCAGAGTACTTGTATACCGGTACTATAGATCTAGAATCTAACAATGATACTGTTATTATATCAAAAACTGAACGTCGCACTTTATTTCCACATAATTCTAGGTAGGCAATGGGCCTGTCCACAAGTTAAGTGTGTTGTTAAGTTTTTACTATAAAGCTACTATTCGATCCACCATTCTCAAGGAAATTGAGAGAAGCGAGAGAGAGAGAGAGAGAGAGAGAGAGAGAGAGAGAGAGAGAGGGGAGGGGGGGGGAGAAGAATTTTCGTACGACTGAAATAGATGACTCTGAGGGCAGGTCCATGGCGATGTATTTGATTTTGGGGTTGCCTATGCATTTTTCCTTGTCTGCCGTCTTTTCATCCTGTGCATGTTTAGCTCTCAAGCAATGCTGATTGTATGCCCCCTCTTCCAAATTTCCCTCCTCAAAGTCCACACAAAGATCATATCTAAACTCGCCCCAAAATGTCAAGGAACAACTTGTGTTTTCACCTGTCAAATTTAAACTTCAATATCTAACAAACCCGTTAAGATCAGTCAATCAAACTTGGCACACGCACTGACAACTAGACTGTACAGCAAATTTGCCCGCACCAGCTTCACAGTGACGGCGCAGGGCATTCTGAAACAGTCAAAAAGCATGAAAAAAGGGCTAAATTTCTCTACTTCAGCAACATTGGCATAGGGACTGTTAGCTAAAACTAAGCTTGGCACAGGCTAAACAGATGTCTTAGCTGTGAATTTTGCTCACTTAAAACCCTTTATAAGCCAGCCAGCATTTTTCGGCCATGTTTCATTACAACACGATGGTCCAACAACACTCACTGCCTGACGTCGACAGAGGACGAGCCCTTGCCTAGCTCCAAGATGGCTCCACGTTCCCAGTCGTTGCACATCAACTTAGGGTGTCCCCATCAGTCATATACAGGCTGAAGAACGATGGCGAGCGACCGGAAGGGTCCAGAACAGTCCTCGACCAGGGCCGCCCCGTTTGACCAATGACAGCATCGACCGGTTCATCGTCAGACAGGCCTTGATGTTACGAACCACTCCTGCAAACAGCATCAGGGACCAATTACGGGTGACAGCCAATGTCCTCGAGAGCGAGGAGACGGTAAGGAACTGTATCCGTAGAGCCAAGTTTGCTTCTCGTGTCCCTGCCAGGCGCCCAAGGCACACGCCACCCCACAAAGTAGCTGGCCGGGCGTGGTCTGCTCGTCGTTCACAGTGGACACAATGTCAGCAGGATCAGGTAATCTTCTCGGACGAATCCAGATTCAACCTGCTGCACCCAGACAGGCGAGCCCACGTCTGGAGGCGGCGAGGAGAGCTGCTCCACCCTGAGTGCATCCAGCAGGTGGAGCCCTACGGTGGAGTGTCCGTTCTGGTATGGAGAGGCTTCTCAGCTCACCACAAGACCCCCTGTACCATGTACAGGGCAATTTGACCACCGCAAGGTACAGGGAGGAAATCCTGTGTCCCCTTGCCGTTCCTCTCCCGCAGCAGATTAGACCCCTGACTGTAATGCAGGACGACAACGCCGCGCCACATTGTGCACGCATCGTGGGGGACGTCCTGCAGCAGCGAGCTGTCACCCGCATGGACTGACCAGCATGTAGTCCGGATTTGAACCCAAGAGAGAACACTTGGGATCACATTGACCGGTGGATAAGAGACAACCTCCCTCCAGCACAAAACCTTCAACAACTCCTGGGCTGACTAGTCCTGGAGTGGAAGAACCTACCGCAACAAGCTCTCCAAAGGCATGTCCTGTCCATGCATTGACATTGTGCCAAGTGTTTGATCAAACGGAGTGGCTACACGCACTATTGACATTGTTTGTGAAGAACTATGGCTGTTCAGACTTTTGAAATCCGACCAGTGTGACTTAAACTCATTTTACATGAACTTCTCGTTTTTGTTGAAATCTGAAATTGTACACACTTAATTTAAAGAGTCGAAAGCACCTTTTTGGAAAAAATGAATAAATTCGGTTACACTGTTCTTCAGTTATCTTTCTTTCAATTTCTGTTCTTTGACTTTTTTGTGCGAATTTATTTTTTCGAGGATGGAACAATGACAAGTTTTAAGCATTGAACTCCTCCTAAAACTTGAAGGTACCTTGGCACCCCCCCGCCCCAGACTTACACTTTTCTTTATACAAATGGCGGTATACTGCCTGTAAACTCTGGAAAACAGGTTCCAAATATAACTTACGGGAGTCCTTCGGCAATAGTGAGATGGCAAGTTGGTCTGTAGTCTCCTCCCTCACCCTTTTTCTCTGAACTGGAATCTCACCCTCTGCTACACCCAACCCACACGTGAGAACATTGTGAACCCACCACTTGCAGAGTCCACGACTGAAAAAGAAAGCCTTACACACTTAGACTCTGGCCCCATTCACCCTCAGATGGTACTTCATGGACCATGATCTTCTGCTTTCTCCATACTTTTTCTCCACAGGCTCGACACAGTCAACCAACCCTTTTACAAAAATAGCTTTTTCTGGCTTGGACAAAGTCCAAATATAACCAAACACCTTCAGAGCAATGCATGATCGCATCGTCGTGATCAACAAACAATGGCGGGCAACCTAAATGAATTAGACGGTTAGAATTCTTCTGTCATCGGAAAGTACGATTAGAATTTTTCTATAAAACAAAACTTTTAACTGATCAAAATCGATCAGGATTTAAATAGGAGTTAGCCCTCCGTCATGTCCATCTATTTTTAGGAGAAAAGCTATTTGGGGAAATTTCGGAGTTAGACAGTTAGAATTCTCGGTCAACGATATGTTACGTGAACAACAACAAAAAATTATCTGGACTAGTCTCTAGACAAGAAAGAGTGAAAAATTGTACACCTCCCTAGCAGTTATACCAATAACACATCCGATTTTGGATAGATTAGCCCGGTTGTCAAACAATACACTCTCCCACCAAAAGCAGTAGCTATAAATATTGGCTTAGATTAACGAAAACTGAGCAATAAGCAAGGGAAAGTGTCAATACAAATGGATCAAGGCATAATATCTATTAAGCAGTGAAATTCACTTTCACACTTATTGGCAATTCACATCATCTGTGCATACATTATATGGAGTAAAGAAGAGGAAACAAAGAGTAAAAGAAAGGGCATAATGACAAGCTTTACCTTGACTAGCATATGTTTCTCCGATGGTTCCAGGTACATGTCCCTATCATACATCATTAGGCAGATGTTGACGACATCAGCCAGCAGTTCATCATAACCCTAGAGTCACACATTAAAATGACAAACTGAAGTGCATAAATATTGCAACATAGTTACAACAGAAATTCATCAAAATGGGTCAATAAAAGCGATACAAATTATCATTTTCCCGTGAGAATAATGCTAATAAAACCATAAACAATATAAAACTTTTTTTTTTTAAATAGTAGAAGGTTTTACGGCGCTCGCAACTGCATAAGGTCATATGAGCGCCAAGGGGTGGGTGTCAACAGAGAAATCTTTACAGGGAATCAGACTTATTCTGCTCACCTCTCTAGCTTCAACAGCACAAGGTCTGCTTCGACTATCAAAAATAGCAGGTCACAAGAGAGTGACAAACATACAAAAGAAGTAGAGGAAAAATGACAATAGTAAGGATTAGGAAAGAAAAAGCAACAGTTCCCTGTTGTAGATCAGGCACAGTTATGAGCGTGACATGAATCAGCCCATTTAGAATTCTACTGTGCTTGAACGAGAAATGTCCCCCTCCCCTTTGGGAATGTCCTAAAGACACTACAGTCAGTGGCACCACTCTGGGGGGGGGGGGGGCAAAACTATTTTTGAGTTTAAAAGGTATAACAGTACAGTAGCAGAAGTGTGAGCAACTGTTAATTACATTAATTTTGTATGAGGCAAGAATTTCCACATCTAATTATGCTGGAAGATAAGTCAACCTATCATGTCAGCAATTTTCACAATCAATATCAACAATACTATTGTAAAGAATTAACCTTTTACAGTATGAAACAAATTAAAAGACCAAACTATGCAACTTAACTTAAGCTTATTCAGATAGCTAAAAAGAACATATTTAACCAAAAGCAAACAATTTAGAAAGAAATATTCTATGCCTCACTGGAATTTCTGCAAGGCGGGACTTGAGCGTATCTCGAATCTTGTTCTGAGTGGCCAGATTCATGGAGAGATTCTGCGAGTCTTGCATGGCCTGTTGATCTGACATGACCTTCAGAAACTGTGCAGCACTGAGGAGGTATGAAAAGCACTAAGGATACTATGGTAATAGTATTACTAACTCTGGAAGACAATAAAACAAAAACATACTTCAGCTGCTTTTTTCATCATCAAGGATCTCACAGAGTCTCTTTTATTCACAGGAAATATCTTCAGATTTCCAAATGATACCAAAATTTCAAGTAAAATTCATAACATCACTGCATGTAAGAATAAGACTGCCTACACCAGTGTTACGCATTCTCTATTTACGCACTTTAAAATATCCAGATAGTGCATGCAGTTATCTACCTCAAAGCAGTAGTAAGCACAAGTGGTCAAAACAAGAAATCATCTTTCCAAGTTGGTAAGACACTTGATGAACAACATACTTTGTACTTATTGGTTTCCAACTGAGGTAAAAGTTGTCAAGAATCCACCTCTCATAAAAAGTAGTACTCAACATACCAAACCATTCAAGGTTATAAACCAATCTCTTAAGCACTTTTTCACTGACGAAATTAGAAGTAAAGATTTTTTTTAACAAAAAGATAATACTTAACAGACACCACAGATTTGCTTGAAAAAAAAAGGAATTATTTTAAGGACTCCGGAAACATTTCATCCCTTCTCCTTTCTATCTTGAATGTGAAATTATGTTTAGAGAACAACATACATCATACAAAATACAAATTTGCGATTGTCTCATCATACTTGGAATGAAAACGCACATTTTATTTCATTGTTTGAAGAGTAGTACTTCATTCCCTACATTAGAGAAAAAACAACATAAAAACCACTATGATTGCAAAAGAAAGAACAACCCTTTAACAAACTCTAAACTGTGGTTTGAAAGTCAACGCGTAATTATTTTGACAAGAATACTGATTTTTTTAAAGACTTAAAAGAATAATAATTAACAAATGAAAAATAAATGTAAAATCCATCCTGAGCACTGCACAATAATGTATAGCAGTGTTCTTCATCCATGTTGCCTTTCCTAAACTGTCTTAATTGTAATTTAAATATGAACAACTTCACACTACAATCCATAATGCTGACAAACTACTGTTTGAAACTACTTATGCTTACAAAATATAAAGTAATTTGAAAGTTTTCTACAAATTTTTTCCACTATACCACGGCAAAGTAAAAATAAGAAAGCTTTGACTTAAATACCCAATATAACACCCTTTACATTTAAACCAAACGAAACTCTTAAAAAATCATAAAACACTAAAATTTACTATCGCTGTGAGATTTAGGCCCATCTAGCAATAAGCAAAACCTGTAGAACTGTTACAACTTATATTCCATATACTTGGTGGATAACTTTACAAGTGGATAAATTTACAAGTACTTCAGTTGATAAATCACATTACAATGCTCACGCCTTTCAAATTTTCTCAACATTTTCTCGTTTTTGTCTTACTGACTCTCAAGAGATTTTTTAAAGTTATGGCTTTGACTGAACTATCCGTCCTCCCAGCAGGAATGTTCAAAAGTAACATTAGGGATGAGAACTTTTTTTAAACAGTGTTGGTACTGATGACATTACAGTTGCAGTAAGAATATATTCAAACATTTGAAAAAATTAATGACAGATGGGTTGTAACAGCACATTTGTAACACATCATCTACCACAGTATACACAGGTTTACTGACAGTGTGCAGTGTCACACACAAACACTCAAATATTGACATAAGGAGATAAGGGATGCCCCATGTTCAGTCCAGCAGACCAACACAGGATGGAAAGTTGTAACACACACAGGAAGTGTGTGGTGGATGACTGAAGAACATTTTGCTATGTGCCCAGCACATTAAGCCAAAGAGTGTACAGCAAATCGAGAACATCATCCTAAAGTAAAAAATGACAAAAGAACCTTTTCTTTTCCAACAGAAATATCAACAGGATAAACTAGAACCTATGAGATAAATGATGAAGACTTTTAACTTCATTCCTATCACAATGTCTCATGGCTCATAAAGTTCTGACAGAACAGCTATAAAAGTGAAAATGATCAGTTGAACAGCAACATGACTTTTTCAGCAACAATCTCCATGCTACAGTTTGCCTCCTATTTTTCGTAACTCTTGGATTCAATTTAACAATACCAGTAGGAATAATAATTGGTTTGAAATTATTGAGGGAATTGACTTAAGAATGAAATGAAAGATTAAAGCGAAAACATGGTCATGCATTTACATGGGTTACAAACATATAATGTTCTGAACATTCCTAATAAGCCTTGATTTTGACTTCCTTTTTAATCTAGTCCAAAAAAAATAATTCTGATGTTGTTGAAGCCTCACAGTTTCAAACAAAGTTTTGAGAACTGCTACATCCGAAAAGCTAATGTTGTCTTTTTTACATTGCAATTCATCGTTTAAGCTGCTTATTTTCTGTGTATTGCACTGCACCATCGCTTTCGATTTGACCCTTTTAAACATTTCAACAAATACTGAAGATATTAAAGCTTATAAATAAACAACAGTCAATATTCTGTAGACTGACAGTTGACAATAAAGGGTTTAGTTTAATTTCAGCACAAATAGGTCATACAAGTGCCAAAGATGAAAGATGTTACAAGAGAAAGAGTGTAACATACAAAGAAAAGAAGGAGCGATGAGGACAATAGATATTTGACAGAAAAGACAGTGCAAACACACTTGAGTACCCATCAATCACCCAATGACAACAAGGAATCCTACAATATAATCAAATATTATCTCAGATCCTTGTATTTTAGTTAGCTTCAAGTGATGAAAATTCAAACGACTACTTTCCAACTAAATCATCAGTCTAAAAAAGCTAACCGTGTGCTCTGAACAAAAAAAAGTAAATTCAGTTGAATTCCTTCAAATGGGTGTTTAAATCACAGAAAAATCTTCACTGCAAGCAGTGTGAAGAATCCCTCAAAAATAAAAATTATTATCATCCCCAGTCAAACCGAAAACTGTTGGATTTTCTGTATAAACTCAAGAGTCTTTGGTGAATATCAAAGAACGTTTCAGAGCTCAGCTGATTCAGCTAGTATTAAGAGTCAAATTAAGAATACTCTGTTTTTAACCAAGGGAGTAAAACAAATGTGGAAAACAAAGCAAACACTAACTACATATGTGATTAATAAGCTTACTTTTGTTATTTCAAATGAAACAAGAAGCAAGCTTTTGAAAAGAATTGAGGCCCCAGAGGGGAAAAAAAAAATAAAGATACATAGTATACTTAGGTGCATAACTCTTTCCGGATGTATCACCAACATATCGGCAAGCGTCTATACAACTTGTAGACACATCGCCGATATATTGCCCATGATGGGGTGCATCACTTTTATTTAGTTTTTACATGATCCGTCTTTCATAAGCACTAACTATTGCATCTTAAAAACTTGGAAAGGATTTAGGAAATGAAAACAACTAGTTTCCCTTTGTCAAAGCATCAGTTTGGCGATAAACAAGTGAATTCATTCTTGCAGTCTTGCATCATCGGAATGATGTAACCGGACTCAGTAAAAATATAATTCAAACAAAATTTGGAATATTGCTTTCAAACAAAAAGTTGTGCTTTCAGAAATGTGTGGATTATGTTCTTACCATGTATATGATTAGATAGCAATGCTGATTTGTTTTCATATGTTGGGTGAGTATATTTTTTTCTGTCATAATTTATTTTTCTCATCATCCATTCTAACCCTGGTTAAGCATGCTTATGTTAAAAATTAATCCATGTGTCATGTATATCACGTTACCTTTGAGTGATGGTTATGCTTAGATGAAGTTATTTTGTACATCACATGTAAAGCCAAACCGAGCCAAAATATAATTACATCTATACCAAAAAAAAACTACATCCAGAAAGAGTTTGATAAGATTGCTCCCCTACTCTTTCCATAAAAGCCAAAACTCATACCTTTTCACCTAATGAAACTGAGTGCTCAGCTTGAGAGGGTCATACAAATTCATAGAAAAATGAACAGTGAAGCAGCTTCTTCACCTCAAAATCTATAAATAACAGTACAAATAAAAAATTATATTGTGCATTTTGCGACGTATATGATTTCCTTCCGTTTTAACTTAGTTTTGAGAGGCATTTCTCTGTGGTCTCACTTGTGTCAGTTAACAGAAATTCAATACTTGGCATAGAAAATATAGGAGGTGCTTAATCAGAGTTAACATACAGAAGGCAATAATAATTATTAATTATATCCAAGTGCACAAGCCCATTAGGATAGAGGAGATTACATCTACCAACCACCGTATCGTCGCTATCATAAAAAAAATACTCAAGTCCATTTGACATCAAATTTAAACGCAAAGCAAAAAATTTTTTTGAGGTACTCATTTTTCTTGCAACAACGATGAAATGATATTGAGGAGCTGCTTACCATTGTAGCTAGAGAGTTACCAGGGAAGCAGTAATTTTGTAATTCTTGGTCCTGCTTTCGGTGACCCTCAACAATTTTTAAGGAAAGGAAAAAATCGTTTTCCATATATGATGCAAAGAATCCTTCAACTATTCAACTATTAAACCCATCACCACTGAGAAAAATTTCTATTCACAGGTAGAAAGACGTTAACTATGAGAATTTAGGGGACACTTTCAATCGGCAAGAAAAACTAAAGAGCAAATTTCTCTGCACATGTGAAGGTGAAGATAAGTAGAAAGGTAAGACTACCATAGTTAACTGATAAAATAACCAGTGGGGCTAGAAAAGAAAAAAATAGAGATAATAAATTATTTCTGTTGTGGAAGATCAAATCAGACTAGCATTTCAGACAAAGCTCCCCAAAACGGATAGACTAGTTTGCTAAAAGTTACAAAAACTTTCATTTTAAAAAACTCATAATAATTTGGTTGATTTCCAGCCATATGTGAAAAGCAAGCGAGTGTAGTAGAAGATAAACTGACAGGGAAGCACAGCGACCAATAGTCCCATATATGCTGCTATACTGTTGTTACCGTTTGTACACAGCATAGTCATTGTTCACACTGGCTTTCATATTGGCCAGCTCGTTGAGCACGGCAAACATGTTGAGCAGTTTGCCCAGTGTAAGAACGTAGGCCTCCGACACAAAGTCGTGTCTGGCACCCTTGTGGCAGAGTCCCCGCACTTCCGTACAGAACCGCTCAATGGCACTTTCCTGTCGGAGAGCATGAATGGAGGAGCACGCCCAGATTTAAACACAACAATCTAGAGTAACCTATTTTCGGGAGGTGTTTTAAAACTGATAGGAAAAAATATTTTGGTCACAATTGTTTCACCACTATGGTAAAGCAAGAGTAGGACACAGTTTTGGGGGATTTTTTTAGCACAGTATAACTCGCGAAGAATTCATGAGACTTTAATTTCATGTCATGTAAGATTCAGAAACTGAAAAGAAAAAAAACTACAGCCGTGTCCTCACACTGCAATACCATGGAAGTAAAAACGAATCAAGCAAAAACTTCAATCACATGAAAAAAGAGTTAATGATAAAAATTACCGCCGGTAGGCTGAGTAGTCGTTGCGCACACTGGCTTTCATGTTCTTCAGCTCATCCAGCTCAGCAAACATGTTAATGAGCTTGCCCAGGGTCAGCAGGTACGCTTCTGACACAAAGTCTGTCCGCTTTTCCTTGTGGCATAGACGCTTCACTTCCTCACAAAACAGATCTATGGCTTTTTTCTGTATACAATCACAGCCATGAACAGCACATAGAAAACAATCTGTATGGTGCTGAGTGTATATAATGATGGTATTCCACTGAACTAGCAATACATGAGGTTAAAAATACAATTAAACATAACTGCAATAAATGGCATTACAGAGGGGGCAAAATAAAAGAAATAATGAAATAAAACCTGCATTATTATAGCACCCATTCTTTAAATATTAAAGAAATTAAAAGTTAGATGAGTGCAAGAGTTCTTATACAGCAGGTTCTAAGATAACCTAAATAGAACTGTAGAGGTAAAAAAAAGTTCATCCACATTTACAGATACACCTAGGAATTACAACTCATTGAATCTCTCTATATGTTAAGACTTGATTGTAAAAATATTTTTAATTAAAATGGGTTTCAGCCCAACTGAATTATTATTCAATTAGCAAAAACAAAATGAAAGGAAAATCATTTCATTTCATCTTAGCATTCTCTTTTATCTTACACACTATACATCTGGGTTGAAGCAGAAAGTGAGTACAGGGGTCAATGCCTAAGATCTCAGCGCTTCCTAATCAAGTACACCTTGAATGCCACTTTTCTGAGGAAACAGAATTTCTCTTTATAAAGGTTGCAAAATTTGGCAAAGATCCTGTTTTCCTCAGTGTGTATCAAACGTAGTAAACGTTACACTTGGCAGCCATTTTATATCAAATATAGCACAAAGAAATGTTAATTTGCAATTTCCAAAGGCACTACAGCTTAGAAAGTCGCCAAACTTTGGCAATCACTTTCTCGCTTATTTTACTTCTGTCACCAGGCAACCCCTACCTCCTTCAATCGCAAATATCTCGACTTCCATTGAAGATAAACATTTAATCAATTACAGTGGAAACCATATATAACAGGCCAGGTAATAACATGGATCCGGAAATAACAAGGATTTTATTTTTATCCCCATTTTTTCCTACTCTTTGTCTCTATAAAAAGTTATCGGCAATAACAGGGCCTCATCGGAGCCCAATCGGTTATAGCAGGGACAAAGCCTCATTCACAATGTGTAAAAAGAAAGAGAGAGAGAGAGAGAGAGAGAGAGAGAGAGAGAGAGAGAGAGAGAGAGAGAGAGAGAGAGAAGAGAGAGAGCAAGCCCACGCAAGCCATGCAACTGCAAGCACACGCAGTGGGTGAAGCGAGAGAGGGCAGCGGTGTGCTGCAGACTTCGATCTAGCCCACACGCACGCATTATGTGCCACGTGCATGCCTACCACATGACGACAAAAAAGGGCTGCGGGTACTTGTGGCAAGGGAAATTACCCATCAACAAATATGGCTGGATTAGTCCACAAATGCTTACTTCCCTTGCGTTTCTAATTTAACAGGGATCTGATATAACAGGACTTTTTGTTTAGTCCCACCATCCCTGTTTAATCAGGTTTCCACTGTCTCAAAATTCTGGAAAGCAAGCAACATCTCACTGCCCACCAAGATTCGACTCTTTAACTCCAATGTCAAGTCTATGCTCCTCTACAGCTGCGAAACTTGGAAGACAACATAAGACAGTACTGACTAAAGTCCAGACTTTCATCAACAGATGTATGGGGAGTACCCTGAGAATCAAGTAGCAGGATAGAATAAAAAATGAAGAGCTTTGGGAAAGGACAGGGGACAAAAGGATATAGACGTAGAAATATAAGGACTAAGAAAGTGGTGATGGAAGGGACACACCCTCAGAAACCCCAACGGAAACATCACAAGACAGTTGCTGCAGTAGAAACCCACAGGGAGCACGAGGCAGGGGTAGGACATGGGAAACATGGAGGAGATGCGTGAAAAGGGACATGAGAGAGATGGAGCTCACTTGGAATGACCTTGGAAGGATAGCACACGACAGAGACAAATGTAAGGAACTTGTATGTGGCCTATACCCAGCCCGGTAACTCATTATGCCCAAAAATTGACGAGCACCCGATTCTACCACACAGTGACACAAATGCCTTCATAAACCCGGGGAAAATAGATGCAATCAATCATATCCTGAGGGTAGGAAGGCCACCTCTCCAATACATCAAGTCAAGGGACTTTACTTTTATTACACAAGATGTGTGCGTCTTATATAGTCAAACTGGGGTCGAAATGTTACCAGTACCTAACAGGGTCCAAGGAACATACTCCTCTTATTGTTCTGATCAGTGTCGTATTGTGCTCACTTTAAAGAGGGTTGTGTATGTTTGAGGGGGGGAGAGAGAGAGGTGTATAAAAAAAGTATGAGGGTGAGGGGGTAAAGATTTGAGAATTTTAAGGACTAAAAATGGGACAGCTACACCGCCTTCAAACTATTTTAAAAAGTCAATCTAATTGGTGACTTTTGACTACACAGAGATCTTCACGGGTATCTTCATGCTGATGACAAGAAAAAGAGCAGAACAATCTGAGTTCAATATACTTTGCATCCCTGGCTAGTTCAGCAAAGATTGTGTTCCTCTCTTTCCTAACTTGAAGACACCAGAAGCTTAGGCAAAAACTACTGTACAATGTCAGTTAGGCAATAAGTGAACACATTATGAAAAACATGTGAATAAGGACTCAAAATCTGCTGGCGATCACAGAATGATGAGAAAGTCACAATGCCATAATAATATGGTGAAAGAACACAGTTGTTAGGGACGTTTTTACCTGGAAGAACATAAACTGCATCAGTTTGTTGACATGTGGCTCAAGGACCTCTACCGTCTTTTGGTAAATTTCAGTACGATTTTCTTGTTCATTGCTTTTGACCTGGAAAAAAAAGCAAAGACAGACAGACACAGATATAAGCCATCCATCTTAAGAATTAAAAGGCTGTTTGGGATTAACCTAAGAAACACCAGTTTACTCCAAATTTTGACACTGAATATTAATTTGTCATAATAGATCAGGGAAAGAAAATTGCACCTGGCCTTTAATAAACACTGTTTTCTTTCTGTTTTTGTTCATAAGTGTGGAATGTTATCAAAAGTACAGAATACATTTTTCCATGAGCCAGACTTGAAATAAAGATAAGCGAAATAAACACCTTTTGTTGAGAGCAACAATCAAGACAGTCACAATAGAATACGCAAAAGAATGCTTCAGACCATAAGACAATGTTTATTATATTATCTTACTGACTGTTCAAAAGCGGGACTGTGCTGTAAGTATGCTATTTTCGGTCATCCCTAATGAGGTTGAATCCCGGTTGATCCCGGGTAGAGGTGCTTTTTTATGTGATGCTACAACTCTAATAGAAATAGTACCAAAAAATACAAAGGAGTTTATCTTAGTTTCAAAATATCAAACTCCAACTCAAAGGGGAGTGTTAGAAAAAACAAAAAAAATTTAACCAACATTTTAATTTGCAATCTTTAACAAGTTGGTTGAATTTTTCTACATTGATGGAGTGGGTCCATGCATGAAATGATCAGTGGGTCCAATATGAATGGCACAGAGTTTGTGATAATGAGCATGAGAGACAACAACTTTTAATAAGCAAATCTTAAACCCCAAACAATGCATCACAACACACCTTCGTTTGAGACAGGCTCTTGTAAGCACGCATGATTGATGCAAGAGCTGAGAGTAACATACTCATGTTTCATTGTTGGCTGTCATGCAAGGGTTCCTAAAATTTGTTTGGTTTGAGCGTGGACTTACCGGGGGAGAGAAAAGATGCACAAGACACATCTACAAAGTAGAAGTCTTGAAGGCCCGTGCTCCTCAGGAATTCAAAAAGCAAAAGAGCAAGAGACAGTTTTTCCTATGTCAAGATTTTGTTCACGCCATAAGCTAGGGTACGACATTCAGTTTCAATGTGTTTAATTAACAAATGCAAAACAAAGCATTTTGTGCAATATATGCCAGAGGGCAATAATGAAGTATTTTTCCTTCAGCAAGTATCCCCACGATGACATGACTTTATTAGGAAAAAGGCTCCCTAAATGGACAGAGAGAACTTTTCCTACACAATTTTGACAACAGAAAAAGGGTCTTTGTAAGCCTTGAAGTGCATAGTTTCATGGCTATGTACCGGGTGCCGATTAGCAGGATTGGATTGAGTATGGTCTTTTATTTTTTAATGTCTTTTTTGGTAAGTGTTCTACAGCACTTACAACTACATAAGATTATATGAGCAGGCGGAACACAAGTTGGTTGTTTTCACGTTAATTCACAATATAGCTTGGTTTTACCAGAGAGTTTACAGTAATACTAAAGAGTTGGCACTTCGCCCGAATGCGCGTATCTGGGTCACCAGCTGATCGTGGAGAAACGCGCGGTAAACAAAACAAACTGCGTCCATTGTTCAAGGCATTTTCGTTGATCGCAGACAAGCATGGCCCCGGTTAGCACGAAATGTCAATGGCGTTCTGCTATAAACTGCACCTATTAGAATCAAAATCTGAGTTTCTTTCGATTTCCAAAGGAGGACGAATATATTTTGATGAATAGAAAAATATAGATAAAAATAATGACAACGTGATTGTGGTCCTATCAGACTGATACTCCATGCACAAACTCAAAACACTTTAGCTTTGTTATATCAGCTATAAATTGAGAGAGACAGACAGACAGACAGACAGACAGACAGACAGACAGACAGGCAGAATGAGAAAGGGAGAGAGAGAGA